GCAGTTGTGTCTGCAGAAGCTAATATGCTCACAGGCTGCTTCCTTCCCCTGGTCTGTTCTCACCCCCAGACTCTGTTCTGCAGAGTGACATTGGCTCACCCAGTACACGCTCACAAGCAGGGAGGCCAGGAGTAGTTTGTAGGGTCAGTCCAGGCTGTTGTCTTGGGGTGAGCAGAGCAAGGGACCTCTCCTCTCTTGGGTTAGGCAAAACTGGGCAGCCCCCTGCCTCCGGGCAGCTAGGGCGCGTGCCGGCCTTGGCATACAGCCTGGATGGCCCAGACATCCTCTTCAGCAACCCCGCCTGCCCTCAGTCTGGATAATGGCCCTATTGTTGGCTCTGGACTGGACGGACAGCTGACCTGGCCAGGCTGTCAGCTGCCTGCCCACCCGCCTGCAGCAGTTGGCCAGGGCCTTAGAGGTGATTGGAACCCAGCAGGCAGCCTGGCCAGCCTGGGGCTTTGGCCTTCCCCACTAGTGGCAGCCTCCTCTCCAGCCTGGCAAAGCTCTCTCTGACCTCTCCTGGGGTGCCCTGGAAGCCATGGGCAGGGTACTTCCTGGCCTGCTGTATCGTGGTTGGTGCTCTGTCCATAGGGGAGAGCAGAGCCTGCCCAGCAATGGGGCATGGGGTTTCTCTCCATGGTCAACTCAGATTCCAGATCTACCCCCAACAGATAGGACAGAGACCAGAGTCTTGAGAGGCACAGGAATAGGGTGGGGTAAGCCTGTGTCATCAAGCAGGGGTGAATAGGTGCTGGTGCAGCTTGATACTGTGTCCAAGGAGGCTATGTAGCTCCACCACAGCCTTTGGGGGCAATGGGCTGTTGAGGACAGTTATGGAAGATTCTAGTGTCTGGGGAAAAGTGTGAGAAGCAAGAGGGCAACAGCTGGAGGTGGTAAGGATGCCTGGGATGCCCCAGCCTAGGCCTTCTTATGCTCTGCCAACTGCCAGCTGCTTTTCAAGGGCCTCTAGACCAGCTGTCTCCAGGTGGGTGGGCCTGGAGTGGACAGCTGGGGCTGAGACATCGGCACATGGGCTCTGCTGCCCTGTGAGTGCTGCCCTTCTATTGCCCTGGCCCTGTGCCCACTCTGCCCTCTCAAGTGCTTGTGTTTGCCCTCCTGGGATGCCCTCCTGGCTGACTCCCCAGTACTTCAGGGTAGACTATGACCCCAGTTGCAGTCGGGGGTCCAAGGCTTGGTTCTTCTTACAGGTTCTGTGTGAGTCTCAGTTTACCTCTTATCTGTGTGGTCTGATGAAGCTAGCTATACTGTAGTGACTGTAGCTTAGTGGAATGCAGCATGACCTGGGGACCATCATTCCAGTCAGGTGTTCCCCTAAGGTTTGCACATGTGGGCCTTATTGTACATGTGTGTATGTGCCCAGGAGACCCCATCAAATGCACATATACATACAGAGGGACCTGTGTTACATATGTATATACAAGGGGATCCCATCACACATATGTATATACAGTGAACCCATGCTTATACATGGAGGCTCCATCACACATGTATAGACAGGGTCCCCGTGACATACCTGTATACCAGAGGATTCCATCATCTATAGGTGCACATGAGGACTCCATTATATGTATATATATGGGAGCCCTGCTACTTGTGCACACAGAGGTCCTATCAAACACATATACACAGGAACATCTTACATGTGTGTACATGAACCACCTCCTACATGTGTGCACAGGTTCTCCATCACACACGTACAACTTTAAGGATTCTGTTATGCATAGATCCAGGGACTACATATAAATGTACACAAGGATCCATCACATACATATCCATTGAGACCCCATCACATATGTGCGCTCAGGCCTTACTACACATGTATACAGGGCCCCCCTCCATGCAGGGATCCACCATGTATATACAAAGGATCATCACACATGCTTAAATTCAGAGGCTAGAATGTGCCTGTACATACAAATACTCCATTATACCTGTGTATGCAGAGGCCACATCATCACACATGTGTATACACAGGGTCCCTGTCTCATGTGTACACTGAGCCCCTCTTCACACATATGCATGTTAAGGCCCTATCACACATGTGCACACAGGAATCCCATCATCCCATACGTGTTCATGACCCTTGTCCCATGTGTGTACACAGGGACCCCATCAATTGGTATGTACCCAAGGACCTGTCATGGATACACCCATTGCACGTGCGGTCACAGGGACACCGTGTATGTACATATAGGAACCCATTCCTTGTGTACACACAGGAGCCCCATCATGCGTGTACAAGGGACCTTATCACTCACATGTGCACACAGACTCCATCCTGCATGCCCTTGAGGGACTGCATCACACACTGCACACATAGCAACCCCATCGTGCATACACCTCAGGAACTACAGCCCATGTGTTCTCACGGGGCCTTGCATTTATTTTCTTTTCTGGTTCTGTGATAAAATCCCCTGCCACAAACAACGTAAGAGGAAAAGGGTTTGTTTTAGCTCACTGTCCTAGAGGGATAGAGTCCCTCATAGTAGGGGAGGCCATGGCAGCAGGCAGGCACATGGGCCCACCCTGTGATGCACTTCTTAAGACTCCCACCTCAAACAGGTTCTAGAACCTCCTCACACAGTGCCACAAGCTGGGAATTAAGTAAACATATGTGCCTATGAGGGACATTTCATATTCAAAACATAAGCCCCATTATCACACATACCCATTATACCTGTGTCTGCAGAGGCCACATCATCACACATATGTAACACATGTATATATAGGGCCCACCACACTGGTATGCACAGAGGTCCTGTCACGTCTGCCTGAGCATGGCTTGGCTCAGAGCGTGGTGCTGTTACCCAGTCATGTCCACAACCTCCCTGATGTCCCCACTTCCTCTAGCTCAGGGCTCGTTTCCACACTCTTCCAGGGGTCTCTCCCTAGACTTAGCCTTTACTGGGCCATATCCCTGGGACCTGGCTGTGGATGTGCCCCATTGCTGGGCAGGTGGATGGACAGCTGGACTCACATGCCCCCAACTGCAGCTGTCCGTAAAGACCACCTGTTGCAGTCAATTAAGCCAGCAGGCTGGGGGCAGGGCATCCTGAGCCTGGGTGGCCTGTAGTCCTTTCCTTACTGACTGCTCAGAGAAAGGCCTACTCTCTGCCCTTGCCTGTCCCTTCCCTGCATGCCTGGAGTTAGTGTGTCTACCCTGGCTGGGAAGAGTGGTGGCAGGCAGGATTGGGCTGGGGTCATGTCCCCAGCCTTACCTCGCCAGTGGTAGTCAGTGTGGCAGGAATCCCTGGGTCCATGTCTAGAGCACCCTGCATACTGGGTACAGAGCTGTCAACTGGGATGGGATCTTCCTGGCATGTGCAGGTGGGTGAAGCCCAGGGTGTGAGGGAAGTAGAGTCCTGGCTGTGGTCTTAGAGGCTTGGAGGACATTGGTCTGGAGCTCTCAGTCCCCTGCACACTGGGCAGACTGCTTCCTGGCACCTGTCTCAAGTTGTCCTTCCTGTCTGCCAGGGTGGTGGGTGCTGGTGTTTCATTCCCATTTCATGGATAGAGAAACTATAGTGGAGAGCGTCAGCACCCCATGTGGGTTCTTTCGGCTGAGAGATATCCAAGCCAAGTGTGAGCCTATGCAGCATGAGTCCAGCCTTGCCATGACTGCTGTGCTACCCAGAGTGCAGCAGTGTGAGCTAGCCGGAGCAATGTGGCAGCTCTGGCACAGGCATCAAGGACCTGGCTCCCTCCCCTGCTCTGACATAGCTGGGCAGTATAGATTTAGATTAGGGTTTGTGTCCTTGCTTGCTGCAGGGGCACTGGACTGCTGTGGCCCCCTACCACCTTAGCCAGCTGTTGTTGCTTGTCCATCAGAGGCCTAGGAACAAAGTTTGGGCAACTGTGGGCCCAGCCCCAGCAGGCCTCCCAGGACCTCCTCCCTTACCCTGCTCTTCCAGGCCTGGTTTGACTTAAGCCTGTCTTGGTGTAGAGGCAGCTGAGCGGATGTGGGGGGTGGCCCAGGCTCTCAGGAATGTGACCCTCCCCCTCTCTCTCAGCCAGCAGCCTCTTGGCCCAGAGACACAAGGCCCCACCCTGGCTGGCCCCTCTCCCAGCTCCTGACAGAGCTGGCTTACACAGGGTGCTGCTTTTGCCTGACCCTGCTGCCCCCAGGTCTGCCCTGTCCCCTCACTGTGGGGTACAGAGAAGGCCAAGCTCACTCCAGTCCCCTGCCTTGAGGTAGAGCGGTAGACCAGATGGGTTAAAGGCTAGATGTGGGTGTTAGGCAGCCTTAGCTGTACAGTGGGTAGAAGCAAGCTGCAGGTCCTGTGCCCAGGAGACTGTGACTGGGCCCAGCTGAGCCCGGTAGACGTGCCCCACGAGTCCCATCCTGAAAGCCCCCATGGATCTCTCTGTTAATTAAATACATTTGTTTGGTAAAAGCAACTAAAAATACTTGTAGCACCAAGGCTGCAGGGGAGGAGCAGGCTAATTAGTGCCTGGCTTGTTTGGGACCTGAACTATATTTCCACGCCGGTTTGACTCCCTTCTCTCTAACACCTTGCTGGGGTGTTCCTCACCCCAAGACACCAAGGGACAGCCCTGGCCTCGCTATGTGTGAGCCCCTCATCTTTTTCCTCAGCCACACTGATCACCATGTCTTTGCATGTCCCCTCACCTCAAACCTGCTTTCCTTCACAGGCCTTAGGTGACCCATGAAAGAGTCTCTGGACTGCCTAACTGCAGCTTAGTGGTAGGCACTGTAACCCATGTGTACCTTACCACTGAGTTTTGGTGTCTGGACTAATAGAGGAACCAAGACACACCCACCTGCCCAGTGTGTCTTGTCCTATCTCCCTGTCCTTGGGCTGAGCTGGGTCAGGGACTGTGAGCTGGATCAGCCTTGGCTCAGTCTGAACCAAGCCTGGTTCTTGCAGGGCTTTGGTGGGGAGGTGAGTGTTGGCAGATGAGGTAGGTCTAGGAGAGAGTATTGTTGCCTGTCTCACTGACTGCTCTTGCTAACACAGATTCTGGTGGACCTCGCAAACCCCAGTGGGAGGCCGGCCCTGGCTTATGAGAGTGTGGTGGCTCAGGAGGGCAACCCTATCCTCCGTGACCTCGTCCTCAGCCCCAACCGCCAATACCTCTATGCTATGACGGAAAAGCAGGTGGGTGCCACTGGCTGCTCAGCCATGGGCTGTCAGAGTGGCTGGGATGGGATCCCTAGCCAGAGAACCCCATCATAAGGAAACTGAGGAATAGCTTGTCTGGAGTCATGAGACTGTTTCTCCCCTTGGAGGTGCCCTGTTGGCTATAAAACCTGACATATCACTCAACAGACAGATGAGCAGTGGACTTGTTGTAGGAGTGTGTATGCAAGGGTTCCATGCCATCCATGTAGCCTCAGACTCCCTAGAACCTCTAACCATGGAAATTGGTGCTTGAGAGACAACAGGTGTCCAAGACTGGAGGGCTGAGCTGGGTGCTGGGCTGAGCCTACCTGGCTCAGGCTCTGGCTGTCTATAATGGGTTATGGCTATATTCTTTGTGGGGCTATGGCCAGCCTCGCCTGCCTAGTTTTTCAAAGCTGTGTTCTTATGTGCCCAGCCTTACCAGCTTGGTGCCTATTCCGACCCTTCTGTGCAAACTGGTGTCCCTATGACAAATGGAAAAGCAATATAGTTGGAGGGGAGCAGTCAGGATGCCAGGCTTTCTGACCAGCTCTTGCTTCTCCTCAGCAGTCCTTCTGAACATAGTTGGTTCTGCCTTTGGAGTCCTGAGAGCTGGGGATACCCAGAGTCTGCCCGCCCCTCTGAGCACAACTGTGGCTGGCCCCAGTCTTCTTTCACTGACAAGTCTGTCTATCCCTCAGAAGCCCAGGATAGGAAGGGGTCTAGACAGGAGGGAGATGAAGTGTGGCTACAGCTGTCGGTCTCAGCTGGCTACCTGTCTTGGACCTCTTGTCCCTGTTGGATCCACTTGTCTGAGGCAGGGTGACCAAGCCTGGCTTTTGAATACACTGAGCTCCTACAGGATGGGGGACAGCAGGGACAGGATGGGAGCCTGGGATGGGCCTAGTTAGGCCTCATGCTATGATCCCTCCCCAGGTGACGCGTGTACCTGTGGAAAGCTGTGTGCAGTATACTTCCTGTGAGCTTTGCCTGGGGTCTCGAGACCCCCACTGTGGCTGGTGTGTCCTGCACAGTGTGTAAGTCTGGGAGGTCTGGCTTGAAAGGGTGGGTGACATTTGGCCTGGTAGCCCCTGGAAGTCTGCTGGGTATACCTCAGTCATAGCTGCCCTGGAGCTGCCTGAGATCTCATTTGACCTCACTGACCAGTGATGGGAATTTTATAAGGTGGGGGCAGAGGAATCCATGTCCTCAGCCCAGGGACCCCTCTTTGGTGACCCTGGAGACTCTGGACTCCTATGGGCCCAACCTGAGCATATTTTACCCACAGCTGCTCTAGGCAAGATGCCTGTGAGCGGGCAGATGAGCCCCAGCGGTTCGCCTCTGACCTGCTGCAGTGTGTGCAATTGACTGTCCAGCCACGCAATGTGTCAGTCACCATGTCCCAGGTGCCGGTGAGTTTGGCTGCTGGGGGTGGCTCGGAGAGAGCATTGGGTGGAGCAAGTGGGGCAGGCAACCACTTACCCAGGCCTTCTGCCACGGGCCAGCTTGTGCTGCAGGCTTGGAATGTGCCTGACCTCTCAGCTGGTGTCAACTGCTCCTTTGAGGACTTCACAGAAACTGAGAGCATCCTGGAAGATGGCCGCATCCATTGTCGCTCACCCTCTGCCCGGGAAGTGGCACCCATCACACAGGGCCAGGGTGAGTGGGTACCCTTCCTGCTCAGCAGTAGCAGACACAGGAGGAGAACCAAAATCAGGAGGTGTGTGGGGCTGGGCAGAATTTGAGGAAAGGTCAGAGTGGAGGTGGGAACATTTGCTCTGTGTGTGATGAAGGCCTGGTGGAGGTTTGAATACAGCACTTTTCTGCCTGCTATGGTCCATTTAGTTGTTCAACACTTGGCAAGTAGCCCAGCAAGTCCACTTAGTTTAGCCATACAAGGAAGCTGTATTCTGACTCCTTACTGGCCAACTGAGCAAGGGGCATTGGCCACCTAGGGCCTCGGCTAGGGGTCTAATGGGCTGGCTTCCAGCTGGACCCTGTGTGTGGGGACCAGGCTCTGTGGTCTATGACCTGGTGCCTCAGCCTCTATATTCTGCAGGAGACCAGCGGGTGGTGAAGCTCTACCTCAAGTCCAAGGAGACGGGGAAGAAGTTTGCATCTGTGGACTTTGTCTTCTATAACTGCAGTGTTCACCAGTCGTGAGTGTCCCCAGATCATGCCCTTGCTACAGACCCATCCCTGGGGTCTTGCTGCAGACACTTTGCAGGCCTGCCCTCCTGCAGCTGACATCCAGTCAAGCAGGCAGTATAAGAGGCCCCCAGAAAAGCAACCTGCCAGGGAAGAGCTGGCCGGGCAAGGCCCTGAGGGCAGCGTAGAGGGAGGCTGTGGCCGTGGAGAACTGTTTTAGAAACTGGGTAGAAGAGTGAGATGTGACGCAGAGCGGGGCCAGGACCTCTGAGGGAGACAATAATTTGGGCCATTGTGGAACCCAGATATGGCACCTCAGTGCCAGCTCTGGGCCTGGCTATAGCTGCTGCACAGTAGGACAGCCAGGCATTGGCTTCTGCCTAGTTCCTGGGGCTTCTGGTTGAGCTCAGGGAGTTAGGTGGGGTCAGTTCTGTTTGCTGCTTTTCACCTTGGCTGTGAGCACCTGGCTTCGGAAACAAGGGAGCTGGGGGTGAAGTATAAGTCCATTCACTATCCAGGGCACCAGTCAAGAGAGGTCCTTAGAAAGCCAGGGCAAGGGGATTTCAGAGAGAACTCTGACAGGTTTGGCCTGGGAGACTTTTATTTGTTGGTAGAGTCCCAGAGCCTTCTATTATCCAGGCAAGGTAGGTCATCTCCAGGGCAGGAGACTAATATATTCAGGGGCCCTTAAGATTGTCTTCAGGGAGGGCAAACCTGGAGTGCAGGAAAAGGTGTGTTCTGGAGGCTATAAGGCTGTCTTTACAAACCCCCAGGATTATGAGATGTAGATTGAGCAGTACCTGCCCTGGTGGAACTGATTTGGATAGGACAGGCAGAGGTGGACTGAGGCTCTGAGGAGTTGGGGGAACCACTTGCTGCCTGCAGCAGCTTGAGTGCATTGCAGTGGGACGTGTGGCATTCGCTTCTGGTGTACTTACAAGCACATTCCGGTTCTCAGTCATAATGGCCATGGTCACCACAGTGACCACTACAGGGATGAAGAAGAGAGCCAGAGGAAGCAAGACCTGTGCAGCAAGCAGAGGGTCTGGTTATCTTCTTAGCCAGGAGCAGCCAATGCAAAGGCCCTAAGGTGGCACTCCAAGGAGAAGCAGCACCAGGTCCCCATGGTAAAAATACAAGCTGCTACCCCCCTAGGCCTAACTGTCCCATTTCTCCCCTGCAGCTGCCTGGCATGTGTCAACGGCTCTTTCCCTTGCCACTGGTGCAAATACCGTCACGTGTGCACCAACAATGCGGCCGACTGTGCCTTTCTGGAAGGACGTGTCAATGTGTCTGAGGTAAGGCTGGATAAGTGGCCTTAAGACTTCAGAAATACCAGTGACCATCAGGGTGTCAATACCTGTGGATGGCCAGGATGCCAGTTGTTCACTGTGAGGTGTGACCAAAGTGGAGACAGCTTCCTGAATGTCATAGTCTGAGGCCAGACTGGGAACATTTGCTGGTGTCCTTGGGTATCCTTTACAATCCTTGGGAGACAGAGACTGGAGATTAAGAACCTTTTGGAAGCCTGGGCCGAGCAGCCTGACCAGCAGGTCTTATAACAGTTCTCTTCCAGACAGTGAGGGAAGGTAACACAGAGCTGTGGGGGTTTCTGAAGCTCTACATGGTAATTGCTGCTGAATCTGACTGTATGAATGGCAGGCTACTCCTCCTGTAACCGGTGACACCCTGGGCATGCAGGCCTGCATGGATGGGAAGCTTGGACAGGATCCTAGGGTCCATGTTGGTGTGGGGGCAGGACTTGAAGCCGGACAGACCCATTCATCTCACCATGAATACTATCCTGGGGTTGGGAAGGAAGAGGCCATGAATTCTCCCACTTGGGTCTGTGGGAGCTGCAGTCTGACTGGACTTGTCTGGAAACCTTGGCAGAAGATCATATGTATGAGTAGGACCCCATGAGCCTGACCTCCTCTGTCCCTCCTTCCTATGCAACCCATCACCTTCCTGCTTCCAGGACCTGATGGTGATGGGGGCTGTGACAGTGAGTGAGAACCAGGGACATAGTGGTGGGGGTGAGGGTGAGTTTTCTGGGAGGAGGGTAGCAGTGGGGGAACTGGATCACAATATCCAGGGGCAGTAGGAGCCAGAACAGGGACCTCAGGAGCTGGCCAGGGCTGGCCTGGGGCCATTTCCAGAGGGCTATATAGTGCCCCAGAGAAAGCAAAGTACTAGTAGAAGGAAGGGGAGACCTTGGTGGTTCCTGAGGCCAAGGTGTCCCAGGATCTGGTGTCCCTCTGATCCTTCCCTGACTAGCCCATCATCTCCAGGAAGTTTTATTAATCAGAAGAAACTGTCTTCCTAGAGTGGCAACCCACTCGGGTCTTCAGCAAAGCTATGATGTGCTCAGTGGGGTGGGAAGCATCGAGCCCTGGTTTGTCTGCACAGGTCAGGGAGGGAGGGCTCTTTTGGGGAATGGGTTGATCCCATGGGTGCTTACTCTTCTTTAGTTGCAGCTTTATGTGGATTGTCAGGAGCATTTGCTAAGCCACAGACTTAGCAAATGAAACTCTGGAAAACCTGGGATACAGCAGACCCCATCTCTCTGCCTCTGCCTCTGCCTCTGCCTCTGCCTGAGGGAATCTCATGCAGGCTCACATAATCCTGTGGCTTTCTAGCCCAAGGCGCTTTTCTGTACCCAGATACTGGCTTGGAGATGGAGAGATACCTGTAGGCACTCACCTTGTCACCTTCCCTGTACTCAGGGCTTGCTGAGCAGGTAGTGAGATGAGCAGGCAGAATGGGATGGTAGGCCCTAGAAAGGACATCATGAGACTTGGTCAGCAGAGCTTATGCTGACAGTCCTGGAGATCTGGGATGTTCTCTTAGTACCATATTCTGACCTTACTGTAGGAGCGGGGAGGTATAACTGGCCTTCCACAAGAATCCCATCATGTGACCTCCCCAGTGGTCTGGGGCCTCACTCTTGACTTCTCTCCCTTGCCAGGCCCTGGGATGATCTCTGAGTTCCCAATAGGGAAGTATGCTTGTCTGCATGAGGGAGAGGACTGAAGGTCAGATGTCTGTGAACCTAACATGAGTCCTAAAACATCTTCTCTTGGCTACTTCTGGGTTGATCCTGGAGTAAAGGTGGAATCAGGAGCCCTTTAGGCAGGAACTCTGGCTCCAGAGGTGTCTTCTGTCTCTCCTTGGACTTCTGAGAAACAAGGAATTGGTTAGACCTTACATGGCTTCTGGTCCCTGGCCCTGAACCAATAGATCCCAAGGGATCTATGACCTATCAGCAGGGCCTGAGGTGCAAGTGCTGGTAGGATTGATTCAGCTAGACTGTGTGTGCCCCAGAGGGCCCTACTTAGCCTGGCCTGTGAGTTCTGGAGTTTATAATTAGAAGATACGCTGTTGGGCTTAGAGAGGATACAGGAGTCTAGGAGAGGTAGATGTTACACCAGGGAGGCCTCGGCAAGCCTTCCATCCAGAGGGTAGCCAGTGCATTGATAGCTGGGAGGGCAATTTTAGGGTAGTGGAGCAGGCAGGAGGATCTGGTCATGCTCTTGTCAGCCGAGTCTGCCCTCTGCCTGCTGTACTCACACAAGGATATTTTAGGGGGCCAGTGAGCAATGCTGGGCTCTGAACCTGGTATGTTCGAGTAGGTGGGTAGCAAGCCCAGCTCAGCATGGCTGTTGGGGGCTCCAGGACAAGCTCAGCCTAAGTTGGTAGTGTTCTTTCAGCTGGGTCCTCTATCACAGCCTGAGTCTTGGGCTACAGCCACCATGTGCTCCTGAGATGGTAGGGAAAGCAACAGTGTGGATGTAGTCCTGCATACCAGTGTCTTCACCAGGGCTGCCACCTGAATTGGGGCTAGTGCCCAATGGATATAAGGGCATCCCACAGGCTTTCCCGCTGAGCCTTTTCAGATCTGCTGGGATCAAACCGTGAGTGGCTGGGTCAGAGCTCAGGCCCTTCTGGGCCCTGAAGAGCAGATCCTGGACCTATATCCACCTTGGGAGCCAAGGCAGCCCCCAGGGATCAGGCCTGTTTTCAGCATCCCTATTTAAAGCTGCTCCACAGGCTCCCACGGGGTACCTCCTCCTGAGGCTGCTGCCAGCCATGCTGCAAGCAAGCCAGGCGTTGCATCAGTTATTGTTGCTGAAGCCCTGGCCCTGGGGGGAGATGGGGAGGGTGGCTGTTTTTCTACAGGGCCCAGGCTATTTTTACATGCTCCCAGGCCCCCAGCTGAGAGCCTGCTACCCCAGTACTCTGTTCTTGTGCAGCTGTGGGCCAGATGGGGTACCTGTAGCCCCCAGAGAGGTGGGGTCCTAGGTTATGGCCAGAGTGAGTAGTTGGCCTCTGCAGCTACAGCCTGGTGGGAGCAGGAACTGAAGACCACTGCCCCTGTGGTACTCAAATTCAAACTGACACAAGGAGTCTGGGCTTGTGAACCACCACAGTCTGGAACGTAGTGGAACTTGCACTTCTTGCTGACCACCAGACCCAGCTCAGCCAGAGCTTTGCTATCCCCAGGACTGCCCACAGATCCTGCCTTCTACCCACATCTATGTGCCAGTGGGTGTGGTGAAGCCCATCACCCTGGCCGCACGGAACCTGCCACAGCCACAGTCAGGTCAGCGAGGGTACGAGTGCCTTTTCCACATCCCCGGCAGCCCGGCCCGCGTCACTGCACTTCGCTTCAACAGCTCCAGCCTGCAATGCCAGAACTCCTCGGTGAGGGAACAGCAGGCGGGTGGGTAAGGTGGGGTGCTCCATGCTTTGGAGTGGGCTGTTGCCCACCCAGTCCCAGGCCTGGTTTATTAGTGAAAAAAATGCCAAGATGGCTTATGTGGCCAGGTGTGCCTTAGGAAGGTCAGAAAGCTCTGCTGGCTCCCTGGCTACCACCACCACCGAGCCCTTGGGTAAGTATGGGTGGTATAGGTGAATAGGCTGATGGTGGGTCTGAGTTCCTGAGTGAAATAGCCAGGTACAATGACGACAGTCTGTATCCTATGACCACTAAAGAAACTGCCACACCATAGCCATCTGAACATCAGCAGGTAGCATTGCTGGTGGGAGACTCGTACCTCCCAGTGACATTCCCAAAGTTGTCACTGAGCTCAGCCAGTCTGATATTGAGGACTTCTCTAGAGCAGAGTTCTTTAGAGAACAAGCCTCTGTGGGTGTGACAGGGTGGAGGTGGGGGGCTAAGCTCAGGTTTCAGGCTTTCTTCTGGCTCACTGTTGACTGATTGGAAGGCCTCATTTTTCCCTCTGCCCTACAAGCATATAGTCAGGAGGGCAATGGATTTTTGGGAACAGGCTTATGATCAGATTGGCAGGGCATGTGGACCCAAAACTATTGGCAGGGCTTTAGTTGGCCCCACCCCCTGGTCCCAGCAGTCCTTGGATGACAGAGAGACCTGTCAACAGGGTAGGAGTTGGGGTCAAAGTTGGCTGCCAGGGTAGCATGGGCTGCAGGGTGGTGGAATGACAGCTCTCTACCCAGTGGAGAAGGCTACTCTCTCCCAGTTCCCATCTTGTTGGTCACCTTCCACCCTTCTCTTGCTGGCTCTTCACATAACCTGTACCCCCACCCATACACACTCCCCTCTGACTCTTATCACCCCTTTTTTCTTCTGCTTCCTGTCTCTCCACCCCTCATCTCTGTTGTCCTCTTCTATGCAGACCCCCATTTATCTTCCCTTCAGCAGTGTTTAAAGGGAAGAGAGAGTATCAGGGAATTTGATAGGATCCAATTAAATTCTTTCAGATAAAATAGTGATGAATTGCTGAGCCACCTTTTAGAGATGTCAAGCTGCCGGCCTCGGCCTGAACACAAGACGGAGCTGAGGTCATCAGCTGCACAGAGTAGGAGGCAGCTAGGCCTAGGCCCAGCCCTTGAGGCTGTTAGCCTAGGTAGAGGTGGGAGCCGTGCTCATTCCTCAGGACAATGGTCTTTTGATTTATGCTCAGGCTATGGGGTCACAAATACCTCACACCTCAGAAGTCCTGGCCTGCTTAGCAGACAAAGACTAATGTCCATAGAGCTTTCCCAATGCTCTTGGGCCCAGCTAGCCCTGCTTTCCCTGACAGTTGACTGCAGCTCTCAGCCAAGGCTGCTCTGGTGCTGAAAGTAGTGTCTGAGGCAGCCTTGGAAAATTGTACTGGAGGTTGGTGATTCATGGGATTTCTTCATGGCTGCAGGAGATAGAGCTTGGCTGGAGGCAGCAGGGCCATGGAGCCAGAAGAGAAGCCCTGTGTGGGAGAGATGGGCAGAGAGCTTTGTGTCTTCTAGTCCAGCTTCATGTAGACAAGCCCATTCAGTAGTCTATTTCGGAGGTGGTGAGGGCCCCCAGAGGCGCCCTTGACACTCTGTGTGGCATGGGGGTGGTGGCCCACCACCCTAAGTGTGATCATTGTGCCTGCTTCCAACAGTACTCCTACGAAGGGAATGATGTCAGCGACCTGCCTGTGAACCTGTCAGTTGTGTGGAATGGCAACTTTGTCATTGACAATCCCCAGAACATCCAGGGTGAGTAGCAGGGCTGGTGGCCTGGGTAGATGGATGGTGGATGGGTCCATACTGACCAGCCTTCCTGTCGCAGCCCACCTCTATAAGTGCCCAGCCTTGCGCCAGAGTTGTGGCCTCTGCCTCAAGGCAGATCCGCGCTTTGAGTGTGGCTGGTGTGTAGATGAACGCCGCTGTTCCCTACGTCACCACTGCCCGGCTGACTCACCAAATTCCTGGATGAATGCTCACCATGGCAGCAGCCGCTGCAGAGACCCCAAGATTCTCAAGGTAGGAGCTGGAGACCTGGTCCAATACTTGCCCAGCCCCACCCTTGTAATCCCACCCACCACCCTTGTAATCCCACCCACCACCTCCTCTCACCTGGCACGGTAGACCTTGCTGTGTCCGCCCCAGCCTCTGCCTTCCTGCAGCTGTCCCCAGAGACAGGCCCTCGCCAGGGAGGGACAAGACTCACCATCACTGGCGAGAATCTAGGCCTGCGGTTCGAGGACGTGCGGTTAGGAGTGCACGTGGGCAAGGTGCTGTGCAGCCCTGTGGAGAGCGAGTACATCAGCGCAGAGCAGTAAGCAGACCAGAGTGGGTGAGGAGGGCCTGGGTGGCCTCGGGGTGCTTCTGCAGTGCTGAGCCCCACCATGCCCACAGGATTGTCTGTGAGATTGGAGATGCCAGCACATTGCGGGCCCATGATGCTCTGGTGGAGGTGTGTGTACAGGACTGCTCCTCAGGCTACCGAGCCCTATCCCCCAAGCGCTTCACCTTTGTGGTAAGCCCCACCCCACTGCCCTCTATTTCTTGTTAACCCCGGAAAGTGGCTAGGGGTACTGTAGAAGTAGGCCTTGATTCATGTCTAGTACAGAACACTGCTTCTGTTGCCCATACCTAGACTGAGCCCAGCCACAAGGGTTAACCTTGCCCCCGGGCTGTCTGACTATCTGGTGACCCAGGGACCCAGATGCTAGGGTATGCACCCAAGAGGGAATTCCCTCTAACAAGTCATCTTCCGGCAGACACCAACCTTCTACCGTGTGAGCCCCTCCCGAGGGCCTCTATCCGGAGGTACCTGGATTGGCATCGAAGGAAGCCATCTGAATGCAGGCAGTGATGTGGCTGTGTCCATTGGTGGCCGCCCCTGTTCCTTCTCCTGGTACGGGGTGAGAGGAGTCAGGGGCCACAGGGCTTTTCCTCCTAGCTCTGCTGTCCCCTTCTGTTGCCTAGGCAACGGGTATGGAAAACCTGTTGGGGTGATTACTATGGAAACCTAGAGACAGAAAAGGTTGCCATGGAAATAGAGGGCCAGCCTCCAGAGTGGGAAGGGCTGTGGCCTGGCCTCAGTGGGTACTACATATTGCCTCCACCTTAGTCCCTCCTAAGGAGAGGGGAGACATCTCTCTTGCAAGCAAAATAAAAAGTATTCTTTTAAAGTTTAATAGAGGAAACAGACATCTTAACAAAAGCCTTAAAGCTTGAAGTGGATAATTTTAGATTAAGGATGATAATGGAACGGCCCTTTAAATATTTTCCTGTGGTAATTACCCGTTATCAGGCTAATCATTGGTGTTTGCAGCCTGGCGGCTGTGGGGCCTCCAGGCTGAGGTAATATAGCCAAGGGCCAGGGCCTCAGAGCAGGTATTGCCTTGCTGATTGCTAATGAAGGTGACCTGTGACCTCATTCCCCAGGCCAACATACCTTTGCTAGGAGCAGGGGGCATTTTCCAGGTGTGTGTGCAGTGGGGGGGGGGTGCATTTTGTTTAAGGCACTTGGTGTGGTAGTTGGAAACTGCTCAGAGGTTTGAGGAAGGTAGTGCTGCCAAGTGGAAAGGCTCAGGTGGGTAGTTTAGTATCTCTGACCACCATGCCCCACCCCCCCAAGCAATAGCCTATCATCTGCAGGATATGTTTATCCCAAGCCTGGCAGGGTGGACTAGGATGGCTGCCTGACACTTATGAGAAGACAGAGGCTTGGCCAGGGTCTCCTGAATAGCCAGCAGAAGTCAGGATCCACTTCACCTATCTGTATTACAGACTTTGTCATTAGGAGAGTAGAGTGGAGTTCATGCCCGAGGGAGGTTGTAGAGCCAAGTGTAGGTGAAACCCATGGTAGGGAGGGGCAGAGGGGCCAGGCAGGGTTGCACCAGACATTGGTGGCACTTAAGGGCCATAGCTATCATCCCAGTAACCACCTGAATGAGGCCACTGGAGCCAGTGCTTAGCCATGCCTCACCATGTCCTCACCCATCTTAACCCCATCCTAGGAGGAATTCTCGAGAGATCCGCTGCTTGACACCACCCGGGCAGACCCCTGGCAGTGCCCCTATTATTATCAACATCAACCGTGCCCAGCTCTCCAACCCTGAAGTGAAGTACAACTACACTGAAGACCCTACTATCCTAAGGATTGACCCAGAGTGGAGCATCAACAGGTGGGAGCACATCCCTGTTCCCCCCATGGAGCCAAGGGTACCTCCCCATTCCCCACTGTAGGTCAGGGAGTACTTCTCCAGGGTGTTCCATGGTATCTCGCTTGGGCAGCTTCCTAAGTCGTTGGTTAATCCTGGCAAAAAGTGTTCTGGCTGAGTTTGAACCACCTGTTCACACAGGGAGAGGCTATGTCTCTTTTGTACTTCTAGGCTTAGAGCCTTGTCTGATTCTTCACTCCTTCCTTTAGTGGTGGGACCCTCCTAACAGTCACAGGCACCAATCTCGCCACTGTCCGTGAACCTCGAATCCGGGCCAAGTATGGAGGTGTTGAGAGGGAGAATGTGAGTGAATGCCCTGTGCCTCTGGTCCCCTACCTCACTCCATCCTGCCCTGTTCTCCCCTTCTGGCCATATGGTTATTGATTGCCTGGGCCAGCACTAGTGCTGCTAACACCCCTGCTTCTGCCTCCCCATGCTTGCCTGTCTGTGCTGAGGCCTTGAGGACAAAGTGCTCAGCTAGGGGTGAGCCTTGGGCTCTGGCATGTCTGGCCCTTAGCCTTCAGAGAATGGACATCTTGAACATGTGCTCCCTTGAGCATCCTTACAGGGAGCCATTATTCCCAGGGTGGGGCTGTTATTGGGTAGCTGGCCCACAATGGGAGGGCTGGTCTGAGGTCCTGATGCCTATGTCCCAGAGCTGCATGGTGTACAATGACACCACAATGGTGTGCCGGGCGCCGTCTATACACAACCCAACGCGCAGCCCACCGGAACTGGGAGAGCGGCCAGATGAGATTGGTTTCATCATGGACAATGTACGCACGCTGCTGGTACTCAACAGCTCCTCATTCCTCTACTACCCGGACCCTGTGCTGGAGCCACTCAGCCCTACTGGGCTCTTGGAGCTAAAGCCCAGCTCCCCACTCATCCTCAAGGTGGGTCTCAGTCACTGTGGCCTCTGGCTGAGAGGCTGAGCTGGGACAGGCAGCGGGGACCAGGGGACTGCCCCAGGACTGCCTTCACTTCACTGTGTTCCCTGCAGGGACGGAATCTCCTGCCACCTGCTCCTGGCAATTCCCGGCTCAACTACACAGTGCTCATCGGCTCCACACCCTGTATCCTCACTGTGTCTGAGACCCAGCTGCTTTGTGAAGCACCCAATCTCACAGGGCAGCACAAAGTCACGGTGTGTTCCCCATCCTGCCTTTATGCAGAGAGCTAGGAAATCCCTGTCACAGCCTAGCTATGGTCTACTGGAACTACCCTCCTGAGCCTATTGACCCTGTCCCGACTAAAACAATCCTATCTCTGAGCAAATAGCCAAGGAACGAGCTTGAATGCAGGCCCCATTCAGACATTACCATCTTCACCTACATGAGCCCCTCTCACTAACACCCGACTGCTGAGTGCTCGTGCACTAGCTAGCTAGTTACCTGGTCATCTTCCAGTGTACCAGCATCTTTTACCTGTTAGCCACTTGGAGAGACGTTACCCATTGGCAGGTGCTGTGGGTAGCTTAAGGGCCACTGGATAGCAGCCTCAAACTCTGAGGGGCCAATACCCTCTGAGCACGTTTATCCCATCTGGCAGGTGCGGGCCGGTGGCTTTGAGTTCTCACCTGGGATGCTGCAGATGTACTCGGATAGCCTGCTTACACTGCCGGCCATCGTGGGTATTGGTGGGGGTGGTGGCCTCTTGCTGCTGGTCATCGTGGCTGTGCTCATTGCCTACAAACGCAAGTCGCGGGATGCTGACCGTACTCTCAAGCGGCTGCAGCTACAGATGGACAACCTGGAGTCACGAGTGGCCCTTGAGTGCAAGGAAGGTCAGCAGAAAGATGGGTGGGACCTGAGCATGCGGGGGAGGTTGCTGAGGTAGTCACCACTACTGAGCCCATCTTGTCCTACTAACTGGCTCTGGCTCAGTCCCAGGGAGGTGGCTGAGGCTGTGATAGTGGCACTGAGAGAAGTTTGTCCTAAACTAGGGAAACTGAGGCACATAAAAACACATTGGTTGGTTTCTTTAAGCTCAGGACCAGTGATCCTGGCCAAACAGCAGGCAGGCTGGGACAGAAAAGGGGAAGGGATCATCAGGCCTGCTGCTCTTACCCCACATTGCCCCTGGCCCCACATCTGGCCCCAGCCTTTGCAGAGCTACAGACAGACATCCATGAGCTGACGAGTGACCTGGATGGTGCGGGCATCCCATTCCTTGACTACCGCACATATGCCATGCGAGTGCTGTTCCCTGGGATTGAGGACCATCCTGTATTGAAGGAGATGGAGGTAGGACTGCCAGCTCAGCTCCCTGGGGGCTGGTATGGCCTTCTAGAGAAAGGTTAGAGCTTACCCAAGGAGGGAGTATGGAGTCAGACCCACATTGGAGCCAGCTCAGGGTCTGAGGCAGGGCCCTGATTTCTGGAGCAGGTGGCTTGCCCTGGGTAGCACTGTTACCTATAGTACTTGAGGAGGTAGGAAGGAGATCCTAGGCCTGGAACAGTGCCTTTAGCCTAGGATCCTGGTTCCTCTCCCCGTGCCCAGGCTGTGTGGGGCTTTCTGCAATTCAGCAGCCTTGGGTCTCTTGGAAGATCTAGGTGCTGAGCTTCACTGTGCAGTGTGGGCAGCCTGGCCTGTGTGCTCCAGGTTCAGGTGGCCTCCAAGTCAGAGAAGGCCTTTCCCCTGCCTTAGCTGTTGGGGCCACGTGCCCTTGTGATCTAAGCAGGCCTGTGTGCCCTTCCCGCCAGGTGCAGGCCAATGTGGAGAAATCGCTGACACTGTTCGGACAGCTGCTGACCAAGAAGCACTTCCTGTTGACCTTCATCCGTACACTGGAGGCCCAGCGTAGCTTCTCCATGCGTGACCGTGGGAATGTGGCCTCGCTTATCATGACGGCCCTGCAGGGAGAGATGGAGTATGCCACTGGAGTGCTTAAGCAGTTGCTTTCTGACCTCATTGAGAAGAACCTGGAAAGCAAGAACCACCCCAAGCTGCTGTTGCGGAGGTACAGGGAGGGAAGCCTGGCCTGTGGGTGGGGTCACCATGGGAGTCATGGGGACCTGTGCCTGCTGGATGGTAGAAGTGACTACACTCTCCCATCTGCTGTTCTTCCCGCAGGACTGAATCAGTGGCAGAGAAGATGCTGACAAACTGGTTCACCTTCCTTTTGTATAAGTTCCTCAAGGTAGGTGGCTCCATGTAGGGCCAGCTAAGCCTCAGGGACCCAATGAATGGAGGGCAGGGGTGGAGTGGGATAGAAGCCAAATGTCCAAGGAGGTACAAAAGCCAGAGCCCAGGTGTGAGTGTCCCAGCCCAGCAACCTAGACCCCTCGTTCCTGTTTCCTGTGCTGACCCTTGCCACCTACAGAAGTAGGGTAGGCATTCACACACTCTGAAGTTAGTGTCCAGGCTTAAGTTTGGACATAAACTTGGATCCCTGTTTGATGCCTGGAGCTAGCTGCCCAGCTCAGGAAGGGGATTGCACCTGGCAGGCTTCTGACAGCATGACATTGGCCTTCAAGAACTCTGTGTGCTGTCTATGGTGGGGTATGAGTCCACACTGGGCTTCTGGCTCTCCAGAGCCCAGCAGGTGCCAGGGTGGGCTGGTTGGTTGAACTGGTTGCCTGCACACAGTCCCAAGGAGCTTTCTGGCTTCCCCTACCTCATGGCCAATGGGATACATACCACAGGTGATGACAGTGGGTGCCCCAGGGAGCATAACCTATACATATCAGCCCTGGCCAATGCTCTGTGGATATAGTAACCAGCAGTGCAGCTGGGCAAAGACGGGGCTGCTGCTGTCTCTGCTGACCCCTGGACAGTTCTCCTCCAGTAGGCTGCCGCTCAGCTCTGACTAGCTGGCCCAGAAGTGGCAGCACATGAGTCTGCTCAGAGGAAATCCTCCGTGGTGGGATGCCTTTGCTTGATGGGAAGAGAGCCAGTAGGTAGGAGATGGCAGTAAGAGACAGCAGTGGTTTGAGGAGTGAGCCAGGAGGCCTGGAGGACCAGAGATAGAGGCAAGTGACCTGGAGGCACAGGGACAGCTAGAGAGAAGGGAGTCTGTGTGCACAGCAGCCCGCATGATAGTTAATGGGCATATCTCCTATGAAACTGCTGCCCTGTGGACAGTTATTTACATGCTCATTAAAGCAAGCACTGTGAACCAGAAGAAGCAAGGCAGAGCAAAGGCTAAGGCATTCCAGCAGCTGTGCCCATGCTGGGTCTTGACGCGTGCTGACCCCGTTTGATCCTCATTCTCCACACCAAGGAGCGGGTGCACTTCACCCACTGGGTCTCAGATCCTGAGCCAGCTCTGGAGTGTCTACTGCTATCATGTGGGGAGGCCGGCTGCCTCTGAAAGCTGGAGGAGCTGGCTCTGCAGCTGTCACTGTGGGGCAGAGGGAGCGGAGCCTGTCAGATGTTTGGGGCAGCCTCATGCAGGGGCATTGGCTTCTCAGGGCACTCAGGGATGTGGGAATGATGGTGGGGTGGGGGGCAAGACAACTGAGGGAGCAGCAGGAAGAGGGGCGCAAGAAGAAGCAGAGCTTAAGAGAAACAGTGGGCCACCCTGCCTCAGGTCCATTCTTAAGCCCTGGGCAGGGAGCTCCTCTCAGCTCTGGTTTTTGTGGTGTGGTCTTTTTGCTGTACAGTGGAAACTGATACCACACATACCTAAGGCCAGGCCACAGGAGGCCATGCTGGAGCTTTGCCCCTGGAGTAACCTGCCCCAGGAGTAGGCCCAGGCTGGCCTAGGCCTATCCCATCCCTGTCTGTGGCCAGTGAGCCACACATAGACCTCTTAACAGGCGTTTGCTCTATAGTGCTGAGAGAGGATACATCTCAGTGCCTCCCTTCCCTGTGCTGGCCACCAGACCTTCCTGTTCCCCATAGTTGTGCCTTGTCTGGGAGTCTAAGGCTTGAGTCACATACTACATAGCTTCCCAGAGCAGTTGCTTTCAGTCATGAGACGAGTTCCTCCACACTTTCATGGCTCAACAGCTGCTCTCCTTTTAACATGCCAGACTTAAAAAAAATGTTTTATTGGATTAAAATATATATAATGCAAAAATCCACTACCTTTTAAACTTTTTAAAAATTACATTTGTATTTCTTTATTACGTGGGTGTATACCACAATGCATATGTGAGGTCAGAGGACAACTTGTAGGAGTTGGTTCTCTCCTTCCACCTTGTGGGTCCCAGCGATTGGACTCCATTGTCAGGGTTGGCAACAGGTTCTTTTACTTGCTGAGTCATCTCACCAACCCTTATCTTATTATTTGAGACAAGGCATCCCTAAATAGCCCAGGCTGGCCTGAAACTCATGCCCTTCATGCCTTAGTCTCCTGAGTGTCTAGCGTACAGGTACCTGGAGTTAATACAGGTGTAAAGTGTAGCCCTTGCCACCATCATCTGTACTGTCTGTCTTGTGAAACTGAAATCTGTCTTCATGAAACTCCTTGTCCCTCTCCCCATCCTCCACTGTACCACCTTTATCGTCTCTGCCTTGGGTAGGCCCTCTACGTGGAATTGTCTGGTACACCCTTGCATGGCTGGCTAACTCCACCCAGGTCTGTGGCTGCAGACCTGTGTTTGTTGACAGGCGTGTAGGGTCTCTGTGACCCAGCACAGCCACTGTGCTTGCCTTTGGGTTAGTTGCTTATGGTTAGCTGCAGTCCACAGTATGCAGTGGACAACTTGTTACAAAAGTGCAGTGTGTTGTCAAAAGCCCGTACCACACACACAGCTTAGTTTGTACTGGGGAGGATGGAAAGGAAAGCAAAATACATGGGGTTCGTCTAAGGTTTCATGAGTCTGCACGTGGACAGGGTCTGAGCCCACCCCCTGCCCTAAAGATACTGATGACCAGAATGCGTGAGGTAGTTGGTCTGCCTACCTGTCACTACACTGTCAACAGCACCTGTGAGGTAGAGGGGCAGAGCCTCAGTTCTGGTGATCACAGATAATCAATATTTAGCTCATGGTATTCAATTTCTGAATGGAAGCAAATGTCTCCAGGTAGCGAAACAGGTTTTGTTCAGTTTTCAGTTTTGAGCTCTGGCTGCACGTCACTCTGGTCTGCAGTTCTGGCTTGAGCAGCCCTCCTGCCTAAGCCTCCCCTCCCATGCCCATCCTGAGCTCTTTTCACAGTAAGTCCTTTACACAGTAAGTACTTTTCACAGTGCGCCCTGCTCCTTGAGTCTTCCTTCTCTGTTACCATATGCTTTGCTTCATACTTCACTCCCTCCAGTCCCCACCCAGGCACGGTTAGGTCCATCACTTCAGGTTAGGTCCATCACTTCATGGTGACAGCTGCAGAATGCTCCTCAGTGTGACCACTGTGTTGTCAGTTTCACTGTCCTTTGTCCCATTGGCAGAAGGTGTTAGGGGAATCTGAATTCTTCCCCAGCACAGTTAGCTTCTGGTGTAGCTGTCTGCTGCAGTGGGCATCCAGAGTGACCATAGGTGGCAGGCATACGCGTTTGCAACATCAGTGTGGTGTGGTGACTCTAAGAATCTTTCCTGGCCTGGGTGCCGCTGACTCCTTCACTGTAGATTGTGCATGTGGACGGACAGCAAGCTACCTCGGCTGGCATTTATTTAGCAGTTAAACCTCTTGCTTGTTCAGCTACTTTCAACTTCTTTGAAGCAACATTTGTGTGTTTTCTAGGGTTATTTTCTTTAGTATATGGTAGGTTTGTTGTTGTTGCTGTTGTTTTAAATACCAACATTGCATCATTTGTGGCTCCTATGCTAGAGATGATGTGTGGCATGAGGTAGGGATCTACCTTGACTTTCCTTGCAGATGGGAAAGCTGCTGCTCTGCTCATTTACTGAGCTGTGTTCTTCATCTGTTGCCTCTCTGTATGAAAGGGCCATTCTCTGCACCTCAGCAGGCCTGAGAGGAATCTAAGGCTCTACCTTCTCCCTGCCATGGGATAGAGAAATGAGTCCCGGAGAGAGGAAGGCTTTGGGCTTAGGACTGCTTCTTTCTGGGCCCACCTCCTTCCTGGACTCTGATCTCTGACTACTCTTTCACAGTCTTGGCAGGCCTGGTGAAAGTGATGGTCTGGGCTGGCAGGAGGATGGCTGCCTTCTGGGTCTGGTGAGCTGCCTGACTGAGTTGGAGCTTTCTCTGAGAAGCCCTGGCTTTTCCCAGGCAGATGCATTAGGGCTGGGTGGGTCTGCATTCAAGTCTTTGGGCACCTTGCCTGCCTTCTCTGCTCCTTTTACTGTGCTTAGGAACCCCAGGGCAGACATCTAATCTGGGGAAACATGAGGTAGTGTTTGCTGAAAGAGGCAGCTTTGATGGCTCTGAGTCCCAACCTGCTCCCTCTCCCTCCCCCTCCCTCTTCCTCCCTGGCTGACTTAATGAAGCCAAGTTTGCAAATGAAACATAATTTCAAAGACAGGAATGTTGTCAGAAGGTCTCGGATGATCTATGCTCCTGGCGGTTCCTTAGCAGCTGTCTCTTTAATTACCTCAGATGCTAACAAGGGTCTAGAGCATCTGGGTCCAGGATCAGAGTCACTGTGGGCTTGCCAAGGATCCACCTGGGCCAGCCTCCTGCCTGGGCACTCTCAGCCAGTGGCCACTGTGAAGAGGTGGGACTTCAGGGCTATGGGACCAGCCTAAGCTCCAGCCAGCTGCTTTCCTCACCTTGCTGAGTGGTGTGAGCCTTTCCTGTGATAGCTTTTCCTTCATTTAGCTCACTTAGCAGTGGCTGCCTCCCCCACACTGTGCTGTGGCTACCAAAACTGACTGCCTCAATCCAGGGCGTGGGAGGACTTAAGGGGGATATAGGGCTGAGCAAAGGCTTTGCAGTGAGGGAGCCAGATGACAGGTATCTGGAGTAGGGACAGTGCAGGTCCTCACCAAGTGCCCAGAGGCCCCCCTGTCAACACCCCTTTCCTCTTGGCACCAGACTATGGGTTCCTTTGCCCCTAGGTGGTGAGGAGCCTCAGGAGTCTGCAAGTTTCTGTTGATGATCATGGTGAAAGCATAGTCTTAGTGATGCTGAACTTGTGGCTAGGTGGGTCCCTAGACATCCAGCAGATCCTAATCACACCTGGTGTGTGATGAGGGCAGGGGTCCACCAAGGAAACGGCAGGCCAGAATCCACCTGCCTTGCTCTCCCTTGCATGATCACGTTGCTCATGTGGACCTACCCTTAACTTGTACCACTGTACTTATCAAGGATTTCCATGTCTATGGTCACAAGGACACTGGGGTTATTGCTCACTGGATTTCCTCACCCAGTGCTGGCTCCAGAGGCAGGGTTGCCTCCTAAGAGGAGATGGAGCTCTCGGAAGCAACTAGATAGTCCTTAAAGGGCTGACTAGGTCCTGACTCAACCTCATAACCTACCATCTACACAGGAGTGTGCTGGGGAGCCGCTCTTCATGCTGTATTGTGCCATCAAGCAGCAGATGGAGAAGGGCCCCATTGATGCCATCACAGGGGAGGCCCGCTACTCCCTAAGTGAGGACAAGCTCATTCGGCAGCAGATTGACTACAAGACCCTGGTAAGCCCCCAGTCCTGGGTCCTCCCCTTCCAGTGACACTGAATTGAGGGAGCAGGACTAGCAGAAGCATGGTGGGGCTAATGCTGCCATACCACCCTCCATATGCACAGACCCTGAACTGTGTGAACCCTGAGAATGAGAATGCGCCTGAAGTTCCTGTGAAGGGGCTGAACTGTGACACCGTGACACAGGTCAAGGAGAAGCTACTGGATGCTGTGTACAAGGGTGTGCCTTACTCACAGCGGCCCAAGGCTGGGGACATGGACCTGGGTGAGTGGTGGGCAAGTATCCCTGTGTGTTCTAGTCAAAGGCCAGTCCCCTAGTGCCAGCTATCTTGATGGTAGAGGATGCCTACCAGAAGGCATCCAACAGGAGTCTGCAAGGGAAGTGACAGGGTAAGCTAGGATCTGCAGGCCAGGGTAGAGTGATGGAGGCTTGAGGAAAAGGGGCAGCCATGAATTTGAAGTTGTCTGCTGAGGGGGCAGGCCTCTGTACTGGGGGAGTTGAATGAGGTGGACACCGGGCTGGGAGCCTGTAGCAGATGTGGCTGGAAAGGCTGGGCCTGGAACTTGGGTAAAACAGGACCTACCTCTTAGGCTCATCCAGGCCACAGATGAAGGGCCAGGCATGATTTTACTCCTCTGAGCCAGCATACGGAGCTATCAGTGGATGGAGGGGCCTCAGATTGTTACTCTACTCCAGGCTCTTCCCCAAGTGCAGAGCAAGCCCCTCCCTGCCTTCTTATCTACCCCACTCCTTTGTTCTGTGTGCCAGTAGCATGAGGCACTTGAATAGAAGTGGGGGGAAGGCCCGCCTCCAATACCCTACTTCCTGTAGAGTGGCGCCAGGGCCGCATGGCACGCATCATCCTTCAGGACGAGGACGTCACCACCAAAATCGACAATGACTGGAAGAGGCTGAACACACTGGCTCACTATCAGGTGATGCTACCATCCAGGAACTGGGCCATCCAACTCTGCTCACTGTGTGGGTTTTCCTTCCCCTAAACTGGAACATGCCCAGCTAGGTGTGGACCATGCCATGCCCAAGGGATTATCTGCCTGGAATCATCTTGATGGAGACTAAGAGTGGTGGCATGACTTGCCTCCAGGGGAGGAACCAGGGGTGTCTTTAGGTCCCCCATGTTGGACAGGACATCTTAGCACCCTAGGAACTTATATCTTTAACATCTGCCCACAGGTGACAGATGGCTCATCAGTGGCACTAGTACCCAAGCAGACATCTGCCTACAACATCTCCAACTCCTCTACCTTCACTAAGTCCCTCAGCAGATACGGTGAGGGACCAAAAGGGTTGCAGCCAGGTAGTGGGTGGGCAGTGGACCTGGATTGGATGCCCTTCTTCCTAATGCTCTGCCTTAGTGTGTTGGATGCCAGGACTAAAGGGACATGGCTGTGGCCTGTCACTGGGCTCTTGGCCTTCCCTTCAGTTCTGAACCAGTGTCTCTCCTCATAACCTATATCCAAGCAAGCTCATGCCGCTCATGTGGCCACAGTGGTCATTCCCAACATACCTAGAAGGAGCCTTGATGCTCCAGATTCTAAGGGAAAACTGGATGGGTGGGACAGGGAAATGGCCCTGCCAGCTGACAGGCTATTCCTGCAGAGAGCATGCTGCGTACAGCCAGTAGCCCTGACAGCCTACGCTCACGAACACCCATGATCACGCCAGACCTGGAAAGTGGCACAAAGCTCTGGCACCTGGTAAAGAATCATGACCACCTGGACCAACGTGAGGGCGACCGTGGCAGCAAAATGGTCTCTGAGATCTACCTGACAAGGCTGCTGGCCACCAAGGTAGGTGTATGGGGGTAGGCCCAAGTCACAAGCCCAAATTCAGAGTTCCTGCAAACCTGTCCAGGCCACCTAAGAGGTTGGTGCCCTGGACAGCTCTGAAGCTGTACCTCGCCCTGCAGGGAACACTACAGAAGTTTGTGGATGACCTGTTTGAGACCATCTTCAGCACAGCGCATCGGGGCTCTGCCCTGCCTCTGGCCATCAAGTACATGTTTGACTTCTTGGACGAGCAGGCCGACAAACACCAAATCCACGACTCTGATGTGCGCCATACCTGGAAGAGCAATTGGTGCGACTGGTGGTGGACAGGCACCACAGGGGTGGGACTGCCAGGGGCAAGGCAGAATGCACCAGGCCCTACAGTGCCAGGATCTCCCTAGGCCTTCCCAGTTTCCAGCCCTGGATCCTGTAACAACCCTACTACTACAGCCTTCAGGAATTCCTTGGGTGAGGGGCTGCCATATAAGAAAGTTTAGTGGGCCAGAGCCAGTTGATAGCATAGAGTAAGTGACATTCATAGCACAAACCTGTACTCAGTGATGTGTGATGCTGGCATCTGGGAATAGAGATGGCTTTAAAAGGCCACTCTGAGGTCACATGGCAGAAAGTGTGGAGCTCTGTACTGCAGGTGAAAGTTGAGTATAGCCGGTGAGAGTTGAGGCCACCCCAGCCCCCAGTGGGTTCATGTCAGTGCTTCCCATGACTGCCGCTGTGCTCAGCCCTGACCCACTTTTTCCCAGCATAGACTACCTACATTTGTGAACCAGCCTTAGCCACCTGCAGCCTAGCCATGGGCCCCACAGCTACTTGCTGCTCAGCATTCTCTGGCTTTGGCTGACAGGCACAGTTGTGGGCTTCTCCTGTGTGCAGCCCTGACCCAGCAGGTTCTGACCATGTGTGTGGTCTTTCCACCCCCATAGTAACCCACAAGTTTAGAGGAAGGCCACTTGAACTGAAGACTGGTCAGTTGGCTTTCCTCCCCAGCAAGGTTGGACACTGTCACGAGATCCTTCCTTCTCCTCTAGGACCTCCACTCTGCATTTCCACAGGGGGCATGCCCCTCGTGCCCACACCTCTTTAACTCCTTACTCCTGGAGTTGTGCTCTGACCTCCAGGTTCAGTTGATCATCAGCTTTCCTAGTCTCGTGTTCTTTAGCATGGTGTGCCGGATGGCCCTGGCCCAGCACAGAGCCCGTAACCCTTCTCACCCCTCTCACCATTCCTCTTGCATTTTATCTGTTGCTCCTCCAGGGCTATGTGAGCCTAACCCCAGCTCACCTGCACTGTCTGTCAGGAGGCACAGCAAAGGAGGGGCTGCTGGGGGGCAGCACTGGCCTGATCCCTCTGCTGTACGCTATCTTCTAGATTTACTCTAGAGCAGCTGCCTCAGCCATGTGAAGTGACCATAGTCACAAAAACCTCAGTCTTCAGTTTCACTCAGTTTCATTTACTTTCTGTTGGAACAGTATGTATGGTAATTGGGTACTTGGCTAAGGCTAACTGAGGCGTTGTGGGGCATAGAGGGTGGGTATTAAGGCATATGTCCTGGGACTGTAGCTGAGCACAGGAACAAGGGTGTAAGCCAGTGTGCAGATGTCAGGGATAGCCCCTGCACATAAGCTGGACATGCAGAATGATGTTCTGGGAGGCACCAGGTGGCCAGTGGGGTGAGGGCCTGCCCCACTTGGGCATGTGGACATCCCCTCACTCTCTAGAGGACAGGGTCAGGCCTGTGGCATGGTTGGTCTCACTTCTAGCTGCTGCAGAAGGAAAGTGGGGTAAAGAGGGGCCCTCTAAGCAGTCTTGGGCCTGCTCATCCACAGCCTGCCCCTGCGCTTCTGGGTGAATGTGATCAAGAACCCGCAGTTTGTGTTTGACATCCACAAGAACAGCATAACGGATGCCTGCCTCTCCGTGGTGGCACAAACCTTCATGGATTCCTGCTCTACATCAGAGCACAAGCTGGGCAAAGACTCACCCTCCAACAAGTTGCTCTATGCTAAGGACATCCCCAACTACAAGAGCTGGGTAGAAAGGTGAGTGGCCAGCAGGGGTCATGCAGATTGGTGGGTGGGTAGGCCTTATTATCTTACCCATACTGACCCTACCACCTACTGTCAGGTACTATGCTGACATTGCCAAGATGCCTGCCATCAGTGACCAAGACATGAGCGCCTACCTGGCCGAACAGTCCCGGCTGCATCTTAGCCAATTCAACAGCATGAGTGCCCTGCATGAGATCTACTCCTACATCGCCAAGTACAAGGATGAGGTGTGCCCCCCGCTCCCAACCCCAACCCCCAGCTCCACCTGCATCAGAACTGGCCCGATACTTGCTTTTGATTCTTCTTCTGACCACCCAGTTTTTTTCTGGGGCAATAAGGAAAGCAGGGATTCTGGGTACCCAGAAGGGACTCTGGGGCAGGGTGGAGATACAAGGTGACAGTGTCTTCCAAGGTTAGATAACTATGGGCCCATAACAGAGTTTATGGGGCTGGGTGGTATCTCTGGAGCTAGGTACAAGCTGTCAGCATCTTCTGACTTGGAGTGGGACTCCAGGAAGTTCCTTGGCCTTTGCCCAAGGAACAGGTCCCTGGCTCATCTCTCTAGGGTGACTTGTCTCTACTCTGGGCTGGAGCATATGGATGCAATGGCCAGTGACTGGGCATGTATGGGTAGTGCCAAGGCACTGAGGCAGAGTGGGCCTGGCTGGCTAAGATCCCTAGAGTTCACATGGCTGAGCTAGGGCCCACCTGGAGATAGACAGGAGAAATACACAGGTCAGGATGACCTGGATGTGGAGGCTTTGAACTTGGCTATGTCCCTGAGCCAGATGGATTGTTATATATAGGTCTAGAAGCAGGGAGGTTGTGGTCTGCTGGCTAGGCTGAGCCAGTGAGGTGGATAGTCTGGTAGCCTGTCTGGAGGTGAGAAGCCACAGAGACAGGTCTAAGGCCGTGAACCTATGGGCTCAGAAGGGCCCTGGGCACCAAAGCAGCATGGAGGGGCTCACAGGCTGTAGTGATTGAGGGTATAGGATGGGGTACTGAACCTGGACTCCCACATAGATTGAGGTATGGGGAGCCAGGTGACTGTAGGTAGAAGTGTGATTCTCAAGAAGACAACCTAAGAGCATAAGAAGCCCAGTAACAGGAGAGGGCCGTGACCATGCCACATCAGAAGGCAGGGAATCGAGTGCTCTATAGAAGACACACACAAGCCCGAAAAGAGTGGGGTGGGGGAGGCCACAGCTGGGGGCCAGAGCCTGTTGGTATAGGGATGAGGGTAGAAGTGTTGATCTTGGGGGCTCAGAACTGATTTCACAGCTTGGAACTGGTAGAGTCAAGTCTTGACTGCTCCCCAAACCCCCCACTAGGCATAACAATGTCACTTGTGGTGCCCATGCAGGCTTCCCTGGAGCTTTCAGCTCATGTCTGTATGTAGCCAGCCCTAACCCTGACCCTATCCCACCCTGGCTCCCTGCAGATTCTGGTAGCGCTGGAAAAAGATGAGCAGGCACGAAGGCAGCGGCTTCGGAGCAAGCTGGAGCAGGTGGTGGACACGATGGCCCTGAGCAGCTGAGCCCTGGACGTGACCACCCAGCAGGAGGCAGAGCAGGAGGGCAGCAAGGAGGACCCAGGAGACAGCCCTTGGCTCACCTGTACCGAGTGCCAGGTGTGGGGGCTGCAGTTGGGTCCTGGCCCTCGCCTTCCTCTCCCTGCCGTGCAGGGCTGATTTTTATCGCTGTGGATGTGAGGGTTCCTGCTGAGCCACCTCTGTGCCTAGGGCTTGCTGCCCTGGGGCAAGGATTGTAAAGCATGCCTGGTCCTGCCCATGGATATTTGCTGCTTGGCAAGAGCTGCTGGTGGCCTTCCTGGGAAAAGAGGTGGCCTCTGAGGGGCCGAGATAGAAGGCCAGACCCTCCAGAGGGAGGGCACCAGGACAAGGGGCTGGACCAGTTTGCAGTTCCTGGCGTCTCCAGCTGCTCCCAGCAGGCAGAGTCTGAGGGAGAGGTGAGATACCCAGGGCTGGGCAAAATGAGCCACAGCCTGGGGCTGTCCCACCAGCCTCTACTCCAGTACCCCGTGCTTCACCACCCTCAGATTCACCGCGTGCTCTGCGCGGCCAAGGCTGGAGTGCCACATCCTTCTGCTGGGGAGAGGCCCTACTCCCCTCCTATGGAGGGGCTGCAGACCTCACTTGCGAGTGACAACAGCTAGGCAAACCCCTCTCTGTCCTCAGGGCTGTGCCTCTGGGAGCCTCCGGGCCTGGGGCTCCAGTCAGAGTGCATGTTCCCATTATTTATTCCCCGCCTCCTGCTCCTGGCTCAGCCCACCGTGGAGCTCCGGAGGATAGCAGACCATCCCACCAACCCACTATCCTCCCTGCCCCTGTCACTCCCCAGTGGCTTCCAGTCTGGCATCTCAGCAGTGTCCTGATCCCCCACAGTGGGACATCTCTGGGTACTGCTTTTCAAGGGAACAAGAAATCCTGCTGCATTCTGCCCTGGGGCCTAGGGGCAGGGCACTTCTGCCACCCTGCTGGCTGTGGACAGTGACCCAAGGGACTGGAGGTCAGCTGTGTCCACCTTTCCCCACAACAAGCAACAGAACACATTTCTAATGGACCCTGTACATATATACATACATATGTATGTGTATATATGTGTATATGTGGCCCTGGCCCCAGTGGGGTGCTGTACAGTTACTTGAGGGAGGAGACACAGGAAGGCAATTCAGGAGGAACCCAGGTGGAAGAGAGCAAAGCCAAGGGTCCTGGAGCTGCCATCTGATGTGGCCTCTGCTTCCCACAGACCGAAGAAACCGCTGCCCAAGCTACCGGGTGCCCCAACTTCGGGTACAGAGGCTGTGGACCTGCATGACTGTGCTAGCGTTTAGTCTGAGTTGATCTTTTCGAACTGCAAGTGTTGAATACTAGAGGTGGTTAGACCCTTTTTTTTTTATGGTTTTTAAATTAATTAGTTATTGGAAAAGCAAGCGGCCTATCCCCTTTTCAAGTTCACTTTTTCGATGGTACTAAAGATTATAATGGATTTTAAGGGACAGCTAACTGTGGGCAGGCCCAGCCTCAGTGCTGGGGACAGCACACCCCACGTCCATGGGCTGCTAGCCTTGTGGTCCCTCACATTCCAAGCTGGGCAGCCAGGTGGGACAGGGTGGAGGTCAGATTAGAGTTGCGCCTTTAGGTTGCTATGGGGCAGGTGCAAGGACTCAGGGAGCTCCTCCCCCATGGTTATCAAGGGACCTGGGCACCCCAGGCCTTGAGCTCTGGTCAGGTGTCTGTGGCTCATTCTTTGGGCTGATACGGGGGTCAGAGCCAAGTCTAGCCAGCCTGGATATAGCCGTTTCTCAATAGCCCCTGTTGCCTGGGGTTTTACCTATGAATATAACCCTCTCTTCCTTTTTGATGCCTCCGGGCTGTGCCTGGGTGGGAGCCTCAGTTTCCCCTAAAGTCTTCCCTGGATGTGGGCTTCAGATAGAAGCCCCCAGTTCTTCCAGCTCTGCCTGGACCACGCACAGCTTCTAGGCTCAATGCCTTCACTATCCAGCCCCACCACCCTGCCCAAGGCCCCCAGGCTCCCTTAGAATGGGCCAACCTCACTTTACCCTACCAGGCCACCCCGCCCCTGTGGGTGTCATAGGTGGGTGGTGAGGTAGCCTGGAGCAGCCTCCCCAGGGCATCTGTTCGCAAGCACTTTAGCGTATCTGTTTACATGCGAGCTGCCCTAGCTGTTCTCGGCACAGCCATCAGGGCCAGGCCTCACCTCCCTAGACTGGGCTCTGACATCTGCTTGTCCTTGGTGTTCAAGAGCCATCCATCTCTGTGGCACCCTGCAAAGGGCTCCACTTCAGCTTAGATATAGCTTGAGTTTGGAGCCCACAGTGCACTGGGTGGTAGATGACCCCCCCCCCCAGCCAGTCTGGCCCTAACACTCCTGGTACTGCCATCCTGCCGTGGGCTCTGTCTCCAAAGCCCTAACCTCCTGTCTGGTTTTTCCCTTTGAACCCAGACTCAGGAGTGCCTGGGCTGTTAAAAGCTGAGCCTGGGTGTGTGGCCTCCGCATGCCTTGGGCACAGCAGGGATGAGGGCTTTGATGTGTTCCCAAGAGACACAGCATTGAATCCCAGGCACAGGCCAGCAACCTCTGTTGATACAGAGGGGCCCGACCACCACCCCCTACTCCAATTCCCCCAGTTTGGATCTGGTGGCTCACATCGGTGCTACACAAGCTAGAGTAGATATATTTAGAGAGAGAAAGATATTTTTAAGGTGAAGCCCATGATTAGCTGTCCTTTAATGCCGCAGAACACTCCCTTTACTCCCCCACCTCACCCCACCCCACCCCCAAAAAAACGGTCATTTGGATGGTCTGAGTAGACCAGGCCTCGGCCATTGCTTCTCTGGAAGCGGCAGAGCCGATAATACTCAGCCATCAGATGTGTAAATATATGGCTATTTCCTATTTTACGGTTCTTGAGATTTAGTACTTGTAAATAAACACACATTAAGGAGAGATTAAACATTTTTGCTAAAGCTTGCGGCTCTGGGTCTCATTCTAGTGGGGTTGGGGATCCAAGAGGTAACCACAGAAATCGGAGCGTGTCACATCCTCAGGGCAGTACCTCAGAGGTGGCAACAGGCACCCTGAAACCTCTACCCTCCAGACTGGGACTTGGTGTGAACACACAGGGGTAATGCACCCGAAAACCTGATAAACCCATCTGTCACATCAGTTTCATTTACAACTGAAAACATGAACAGCATACCCTCTCATCTGAACTCGGGCAGGGACAGAGAGGGAACCTCATGGTAGCCTGTGTGGCAGGACCATGCGCAGTCCTCATTGGGAACATACCCATCTATAAGGCTGGATACCTGAGGCCCTGTTAAAAAGCAGATTCTGTCCCCAGGGTTCAGGGAAATGCAGAAGTACATGCATGACCCAGGACCATGGCCTTGGGATCCTGAGTTGCCCACAGAGTTGGTAGTATTTCCCTAGTGCTTGGCCAGGGGCCTGTCTTCATGGCCTTGCGATAAGGAGCCCAGAGTGGGACAGCTCATTTGCACACTCAGTCAGTTTAATGGGGTGAATGAAGGGCTCATACAGTCTGCTGTTGGCGCGGGTGCCCAGTCTTGCCCTTGTCACCTGGGCAGAGTGTGTGTGGAGTTGGGTGCAACAGCACTGATGAAGGAGGCGCTTATTGACTGTGGAAGTGCCCCACCTCTGTGGGAGCATCTCAATACCTAGGACCCATGTCTGATGATTGTGCTGTGGTGTTCACCCACTGCACAAGGCCACGGAGCAGAGGTTCCAGGCTCTGAGGCATCCCGCCTGCCTCTGTCTCATTCCAGTCCTTTCTGAACCCCAATGGCATTCCATAAATCACAATCAGTGCTCCTCCTTTCCCAGCTGCTCTGTCCTGACAGCCTACACAGCTCAAACAACAAAAAAGGCAACGTAATCACCATGAAATTGCATGGGAAATAGATTTAGCAAATGTGGTCCCGTTTGGGGTGTGACATAGCCCATTTATGTCTCTTGAGCCCTCCCAACTTTCTGGCACAATCAGCCCTGCCTCAATTACCCTCGTTAGGCTGCCAAGGGCTCCGGCCCTGCCACCGAGTAGTGAGCCAACCTCTCAAAGCAGCAATCAGTGTCCCTGCACGGGGTGATCAAGCATGATTAGGGCAAGCAGAGTCTGATTGCCACACAGTTTATAGAAGGCAGGGCTGTGGGGCTCTGAGCAGGGCAGCCAAGGGGTCTGGGTGGCAGGGGCTCAACTCTGTGGATCAAGAGGACATTCTGCCGTATCTCCCTTGGGTCCCCAGAGCAGCCACAGCTCCAGGAGAGGACAAACCAGACCAGAGGTATGAGGAGGATGTCTGCTGATAGACTCCGGTACATGGAGGAAGTCTAGCTGAGGCTCAGCGGGCCGTATCAGGAACCAACCCAAGCCAGCTAAGGGCAGGAGATGGCCTCTGGGGGAAAGAATGGAGACCTGTCAACCATGTAGTCCCAGAGGAGGGAAGGACCATTTGTAGAGGCAGGAGTGATCCAGGCACCAGGGCCAATGTGAAGACCTACGAGAAGCCTGTATGAGATTGAAGCCAAGACAGGCTGCCTGCAGAGGAATGGGCATACCAGCCTTTGGGAAGCAGGAAGCTGACTTGGTTTCCTCTTGATGGCTACAGGACTGGTCATTGGAGGCTGATGGGAGGCACCTTCAATAGCATAGCTACATCCACTGGGGGTGCTGTGTAGCCAACATCTCTGGTAGGTGGGGCTACTCTAATCTCTGATTATAATATCCATGAAATGACAGACCACACCTGGCTAGACACCTAGGTCTCCTGGAGTGAGGTTCTCAGAAACAGTAGCTTCTTCAAGCTATGCTGGGCCTAAGATACAACACAGGGCAGATCTGGTCATGGACCAGACCCTGGGGATGGTTGTTTCTTCAGTGTGGCCCACGCTGGTAGCAATCAGCCACTGTTGGCTCAATTTAGAGGAGGCCAGGGACAAAGATGAGATATCTGCTCCAGGAGATCCAGGTGGGGCCTGCATTAATTCTTAGACTGCCCTGGCTCCTGAAGCTCTTATTTGTGGTGAGGCTCTGCAAGGACAGTGCCCAGGAACTCCCAAACACTGGGAAGGCAGAGGGAAGCTTCCACTCAAGAGCAGATACCTGTAACTACAACCTGCCCCTGGAGACTTGGCTGATGTTCACCGAAGGGGTCTGCTGGGAATCAGGCTTTCTGGCCATGCTGGCTGTATCTAGTCCATAACCCACCCCCAGTAAACACCTAGGCATGTCCCTCAGATTCCTTTCTGTTTGTAATATGGTGGGCTAGGGGAGACAGCTTTGACTTTTACAAAGGTCCAAGAGTGCCTGGTCTTATTCTTGGCTGGATCGATGAGATTCTATGGGGCCATAAGCACCCATCTTTCTCCTCCTGTCTTCCACATCTTCCCAAATCAGGCCCCTTGTGGCTACAGAGTGTAGGGAATCGGCCCCTTTGGGCAGCAGGTGCCCAAGTGGGGATTTTATTAGCCATTCTTAGGGCAGCTGCACCTGTTTGAGCCAATTAATCTGGCCTCAAGAAAGAGATGGTCTGGTTGGCTGGACATAGGCTCATGAGCAAGAGAATGGTCCATGCACTTTAGCCTGAGCTTTGCTAGTCATTCAGAGCTGTGCCCATGCACAGGTCCTGGCCTGCACAATCCTGAACCTGACTTCTTTGGCATTGTGACATTACCTCCTGGAGAGGAATCGGAGGCTCCTGAGACTCATAAGGTCCCTAAGGCTAAGCTTCCCAAAATCAAATAAGAAGTGAAAGTTTCTGAGGAAGAGACTTTCCAGTGGAACTGCCTGAAAGTTGTGCAGGGAGCTCCAGGGATGCAAATTCTGAGAGTGGTCACCCATGACAAGTCAGTCTTTTCAGTGGTTCAGATGCCACCAAGTCACCCATGCTCCTGCAAGTAACAGTGCTAAACTCATTGGTTCACTAAATGAGATGGCTGGAGTCGTTTCTTTGGTCAGTCCAATATTGATGCCCAATTGAGATGGTCAGTTTTCTTATTTGGGTTCTTGTCCCACCTTGCCTCCAAGAATGTACTTGCCTCCAAGAATGGAGAGAGCAGACAGAGAAGGGAATGAGGGCACTTAAAGAAGATTCACATAGCTGGGCAGTGGTGGCACAAGCCTTTAATCTCAGCACTCGGGGAGCAGAGGCAGATGGATCTCTGTGAGTTCGAGGCCAGCCTGTTCTACAGAGCAAATGTCAGGACAGACTCCAAAGCTACAAAGAAACAATGTCTCAAAAAAAAAAAAAAGATGATGATTCACATAATAGGAAAGTGGGAACCCTGAGACTCAGTGGTAGCAGGGTACCAACCAAGAGCAGTTGCAGGCATTACAGTTCCATGTCCTTAGCAGGCTTAATGACACTGCCCAGAGATTGTCCGCAAGCTTGC